AAAAATAAGAAATCCGCAAGCGAAGAGACCGTGAGAACTGGCTGTCTCTTCGTTTGAGAATTTCTTATTTTCCCTTCTACCCTGAAGATGGAGGCGATACGTTCCTCCGAAACGTCGGTTAACACCACATATACACGGTGCCAAATCCCAGACGACTGCTTTCTTCATAGTCACCGCCGTGAAAGCCTCAGATCTTACTAGATACTATTTTCAGAACTAGATGGGCACCAACATCGGAGATGCTGTTGAATACACAGGACTGCTCTTCCGTAAGGTGTTTTCAGACATTCAGTACTCAAATTTGATTCAGCAAAGGAACACAATATAAAGGGTCTTAAAAAGTCTGTACTTCAAATCAATAACTTGACATGGCTAGTGCATACTCAGAGAACAGTTTGCTAAATCAATTTCTGTGAATTTTAGATCCCTTTCGTACAGATTTAAACAGAGAAATTCCTTTTGCTCCTTGTGCACAGACAATCTGAGTGATTCTCCTTCTTTACTGTTGTGAATTTGTAATTCAGATCATAAATAATATACGAACGAATGTATCCAAGTAGGGCCAATTCTCAGCAGTTTCCACCGCCAGGGTAAAGTAGCAGTACTTGCATCCGGCTTGTAGTCGGCATTTCGAATCTAGGACGAAGCAAGGGCTACATTGGCGTAGGTTTTAGTGTCAGATCATTTCATATGAATCCAGAAAAGTACATTCAGACACTTCACAGATGCTCCCTTCTGAATCCGTTTCATGCAAGATTCTTAGTACTCATCCAGTCATCAATGGCCGTACAGCGCTTTGTTCGCCCTGGCCTCTTCTTCGGTTTCGTATCTTTTTTACACAGACGGTAGGATTCCTTCGGCGGGGGATCAGCCCGTCGCTACATACACACAGCACAACACAAATACAGAGTAAGTGCACGCACAAACATCAATGATTTTGAGTGGGATTCGAATCCACGATCCCAGCGTTCGAGCGGGCGAAGACAGTTCATGCCTTAGACCGCTCGGCTACTGTGACCGGCAGTGTATAGGAATAATATATAAGAATTCAGTTCGTACCTCACAGGAAACACATCCGAACCCACGATCCCGGCTTCCGAGCGAGCGAAGACAGTGCATGCCTTAGACCGCTCGGCTACCGTGACCGGCAGTGTATAAGAATAATATATAAGAATTCAGTTCGCACCTCACAGGAAACAGATCCGAACCCACGATCCCAGCTTCCGAGCGAGCGAAGACAGTTCATGCCTTAGACCGCTCGGCCACTGTGACCGGCAGTGTATAAGAATAATATATAAGAATTCAGTTAGTACCTCACAGGAAACAGATTCGAACCCACGATCCCAGCTTCCGAGCGAACGAAGACAGTTCATGCCTTAGACCGCGCGGCTACTATGCTCGGTATGATTCTTAGTATAGCCCATGCAAAGTTATTTTAATAGTCTTTTCCAAATCTGGAAGTTCTAATGTACTTAAACAAAGGGCAAAGAGAACAGCCACGATCAAATACTTGGAACAGATGAAGTGGTGAACTAAAAAATTCAAACACGGAAAACAAAACGTTAAACTGAGCTTGTAAAATGATGGACGTTATTCAATCATATAACGAAAGCGAACTGCCTAGTGCGGATGGGGAAACAAATGAGAAACAGATACAAAACTTAAAAATGAAGTTAACATTTCGGAAATAGACGCAGATTTAAGAATGATATTAAAATGGCTGGCTCTTATGATAATGTTAATGCCTCTTCTTGTTCCACAAACGCGGAGGCATATCTTGAATATCGACTTCTGAAGGACTACATGAACTTTGTCAACTTGGTCTTGCTACAGTTCGGGAGGTTATTCGCCTGCTTCCCGCCTCGGTGATTAGGGCTCAGCCTCATGGCAATCCCCATGTGGACTTTGTGGTGAACAAAATAGCACTGGGATCGGTTTGTCTCCGAGTATGTAGGTTTTCCCCTGCGAGCTTTCAATCCACCATTGTTCCGTTCTCTCATCTGTCCCACGGGGGTGTAGAGTTGGCCCATTTGTGGCCGCAGTACCGAGGGACTCACCCCACCCGGAAAATAAAAAAGAAATGCAAGATTTGAGGCTTTCACGGCGGTGATTATGAAGAAAGCAGTCTTCTGGGATTTGGCACCGTGTATATGTGGGCAGTCTGCTTTTACCGGTTCTCACGGTCTCTTCGCTTGCGGATTTCTTATATTTTTTCTTCTACCCTGAAGATGGAGGCGATACGTTCCTCCGAAACGTCGGTTAACACCACATATACACGGTGCCAAATCCCAGAAGACTGCTTTCTTCATAGTCACCGNGAAATGTTTAAGAGTAGACTAATAATATAAACTTGGATGGTCTTGGCAACGCAAGAGAAAAGGCATGGCATTCGGATTTGAACTTTAAACTTTCCAAAGATGGACGCGCTCATTGTGCAACATATGACGTGTAAACAGGAGTGTTTACTCCGACACTTCCTGTCTCAGAGTTGCGGCTGATTGGAATTCAGTTGATATTCTGAGATAGGAAAACTGCTACTGCTGACGTCACACCGATAAGTCCACTTAACACCAAGGACCGTTCACTTACATCACAGACTTCAAGAGCCATGGCTTGCTGACGTATTCAAAATGTGCAATAAATGGACAGCAAAAAAAAAATCCGTGACGGAGGAGGGCCAGTTTCCATATGAACTACGCGCAAAGCCTTTTACGGCTGTTTCTTTTTTTTTTTACCGGTTGTGCCATTGCATTCAGGATAAGAGAAAAATTCTCTCATAAAATAATGCAAACGTTTTTATTAATATTTGTTATACTTCCTTCTATTTTTCGATTTTTATTATTTTTAATATTGTATTTAAGCATCCTGTTGCATTAATCTATGTTTCGTACACAATACAATTCCGTCAAAAATGTCATTATTTCTATCACTCCTTCTCATCATAACAGGTTTCGGCCCCAAGCGGCCATCATCAGTGTCTCGGCTATGCCAAAACTGTTCTACTGTACAGAATGTCCAGAGAGTGTGGACAGAATGACATACAAGCTAGGGGCAAAACGCAACCACAACAACGGAAAACAACACGCGAACACCCAGGCCACTACAGTATAAAAATCCAAAGGGATATCGAGCTATATCATTTAGACAAATGGACGACGCCCCTGGTATAGGTGCAAAAAATAATTTTACAAAATATAACGAAAAAATGTAATGAATTCGATTTAAAGTAAATTACAGCGTGCTAACTAAGTTAGCATCCAATATTTTAAATCATGAGATATCGCAGTTGTATGTGACGCGAAAAGTGGACATTCCTACAGTGGAAGTTTTGGCACAAGTGAGACACCTGATGATGGCCGTTTGGGGCCGAAACATGTTGTGAAGGGAACGAGTGATAGAAATAGTTGCATTGTTGACGGAATTATATTGTGTACGAAAGTTGTATATTTTTTCCCAAATCCAAGGGGTTGGCGGCATGTGCCTGGCTTCGCCCCCTGATGACACCCGTAATAATGGTGAACGTCCTATACTAATATCTTTGAAACTTTTTGGGTTGCGAAGCTCGTGTTCATCTCAGTGGAACCCCACATCAAAAAGAGAATCTGTAGAGTCATAAGGGACCAAGATTGACACAGACTAGAACTGAAAGTCAACAAAAATATTTTCAAATGTAATATAAACTTGTATTAAATCTACAAAATACACTGGGTAATATATGTGTGACTTTCTTCAACATTAAAAACTATCCATTCTGCCCATATAATGTATTTATATATGTTCCGAACGATTCTCACAATAGACAACCATTGTTTTCCTGATAACTCCGTGGCTTTAGTCCGCAAGCGAACTATACCGACCGAGCGACCGTCGCTTGTCGGCGAAGTTAGTGCCAACTTTTGTGGACAGAGTGCCGCGTGGTCAGCGCAACGGATCCTCACGGCACTTAATTTCGGTTTCCTAGACCGGAATACTTTTCCTGAAGGCCTAATAGGTGGGCTTTTGCAATGGGAAGCGCGAAGCAGAAGCTAAACTTCTGAATACCATTTTTACATGAATTTCATGCTTCGAAAGGTTAAACTGTTTACAAAACACGTTACCACATAGCATGCCCTAAATATATATTCATGATCCGCTGGTATCCTGGTAGTTACCTCGTTTCATAACATGCTAGTTGAAAACACTGGTACGAATGCTTACCATGGGCTACATTGTTGATGCAATCCAAGTACTGCCCACCTTTCTCATCGTACATGTACTGACCCACCGCCCTGACGATCTTGAGGGGGTCAGCTCGGTAAAACAGCTTGCACGATTGCCTGCAACCACACAGTCCTGACACAAAGACAGTACAAGAAAAGTTAGGCTAAAACACGACTCATTACAGACGTACGGAAAGAGCGTACATAAAATACCGAAAGTTAGCTCTTGTCAACGATTCTATACTATAGCATCAGGGCAATAACATAAGGACAGAAGCATATTACGTCATGACTAAAACTTACTAACTCCGTGGGACAGACTCTGTTTCAAAAGTCAGCAGTTACTCCAAGTCTTTTTTAAGCTATCCTTGTAACCGGCCGTGGAGGCCCACTGGGTTGTAAGAAATTATGGGTTCCGGATTAGACGACCCTGTTTATTGGACAATTACACTCACTCTCAAACAAGGCCTTCAAAACAAAGCGACCTGATTAGTCCGCCGTTTCTGCATTTCCTCTTCAGCTGTTATTCTCTTTGCTCTTGGTTCTTCACTTATCTCCCGTCGGATCTGAACTGCTCTGGTCAGTTCGTACCTCACAGGAAACAGATCCGAACCCAAGGTCCCGGCTTCGGAGCGAGCGAAGACAGTGCATGCCTTAGACCGCTTGGCTACCGTGACCGGCAAGGGCAGAGAGAGAGCGAAGAAGTGGGGGTGGTAGTGAGAGACACTACATTGGGGGGGGGGAGAAACTATATCTCCGATTTTGAAGGTTCCCAGGCAGTACCCGATTGCTCTGGTCTCTTATCTTCTACCCTCTTAAGTAGCTCTTCGCGTACCGCTGAGAGAACACACCATCGAAGGGTTCTGTTTTGCATGTTGGCTAGAATATTCGTTAGTGGGTCTATTCGTTGCCGTGGGAACTCAACAATTCTGCCTCTGTTGTCTAGGCAGTTTCTTAGGTAGTTGTCTTTCCATGTGTTCGTTGCCGCCGAAGTATGCGTTCCCATTGCAGCCGTTGCGCAGCGATGGACGTCATACGGTCCGGATTTTAGGTGGCACGCCACAACATTTTCGATAATTCGTTATTATTTTCAAGTACATTTGTTGAAGAATATGGATTACATTCTGCTCCTGTGGAGCGGCGCTGGAAATATTTACCTTGAAAACCGTTTTCTCTGAGCACTCAAACTAAATTCCGTCATACGCCTCTTCGATGTGAGTGACGCGCGCTGTTGATAGTTCTGTTGTCTGTCCGTAACATTTCATCCTGCTAATCGGCTTGCGCAACGCAAAACCCAGTCGTGTAGTCTATTTGCAGAAACGAAAGCTAGCAACAGCTGCCCGAGATATGGGCTGACTGACCACTTTCAGAACTGCTGCAGCTTCGGCCGTCTCCTTGGCACAACCCAAGGTCGAGTAATCAGTAACAGAATGTACACAGCGCATATCGGGGCACGCGGTTGCGTACATGGTTGCAGGATCGATTCCTGATGAGGTCGTTGATGTTTTCAATTTACCTAATCCTTCCAGCTGCACTATGGCCCTGGGATCGACTCAGCGTCTAACAGAAATCAGTACCAGGAATCTTCCTGTAGGTAAACGGTGACCGGCGCAACCCTGTGGGCCTCCACAGTCAATTACAGGGATAGCTAATCACACATGAACGTTATACAGACTCCATGCTTCCACAATTAACATACCGCATTTCCTTCGGCTTTAAAGAGCGTGGCATTTGATTACTATGTGACGAAAAAGTTATAGCAAGCGAACTACAAAAAGAAACCAGAAGTTCTGGGAAGAATTAATCGCCTACTTTCTTTTGATACGGCACGAACTGCATAGAAAACGACTCCTACAATAATCATTATATTATTGCATGCGTATTCGTTGTGACGGTAACGTGTTTACCGAGCTGTTGCCGAGCAACGACAAGAGAGAGAATAATGGTATGAATTTATGGAGTACGCTGCTGAGATGGGCTCCGGTGTCAGGATATACATACCGACTTTCATAAAGATTGGTTCAGGCAACGAAAGTTGACGAAGGGGGATAGACATACAGACACACAGACAGCAAGGTGATCTCATATACCTACTTTCATTTTTTCAACATAAGAAAAGTAAGCTAAAAATTGATTAAAACAGAGAACAAAATAAATGTAAAAAAGCAAAATTCTCCCTCTGCTTAACTAATTAAGCACTATGCCATGAAGACATACGGTAGAGTGGAGGTATACCTCCACCATTCTTGACCTCGAAACTAGATGGAGGAGAGCGGTCAGCTTTACGCCTCGGTCGCTTTAACCCCGGGTAAAGAGCCTATGGTGTCCATTTGAGAAGATGCTGGGTGGGCCCCAGAACCGGTCTGGAATCGAACCCCGGCCGTGAGCCCGTACCCGGTCGCTATCCAAACAAAGAAGAAAAAAAATATAAGAAAATAAATGAAGGGAAAAAAGAAAGAAAGAAAAATCAAAAGATTAAATAGGAAATCAAGGGAGTAAAAATAAAGAAGATACGGAAGTAAGGAAGAAATAGGGCCGCACCATAGCTCAAGCGGTTAGCGGTTGGCTTCCCACCGCGGCGGCCCGGGTTCGATCCCGGATCTGGTCAAGTGGGATTTGTGGTGGACAAAGTGGCGCTGGGGCAGGTTTTCTCTGAGCACCTCGGTTTCCCCTGCCAATCTTCATTCCACCAATCGCTCCACAATCACCCTCACCTATCATCTGGGGCTGGTACAATAGGCCAGAAGTGGCCGCAGTACAAGGGACTTAGTCCCACCCAACTAGCAATAAAAAATAGGAAGAAATAGAGAACAAAAGAAAAACGATAGAAAGTTATATGGAAGGATGGGAGAAAAACAAAGAAAAATGAAAGGGAAAATGGAAGAATAACGAAAGAATGAACAAAAGAGAGGATGAAGAAAGGGAAAGAAGAACTTTGCAACGATTTCACGAGATCACGTAGAATCACTGTGAAAGGCTGAACACGCATATGCAGTTACGAGGCCACGCACAATGTCCCAGTAACTCCCTCTATCAGCACACTCCTGATATTAATCACCCTTGAACTGGCGATAGCGGTTTCAATAAGAATCCGACAGATGTCCTTGGGAACCAGCTGTTCGCGACAGAGCAACTGCAGAAACACAAATAACTTTCCGACAGCAATTTACAAGAGGTCACGCTTTTATAAAAAAAAAATCCTTTTACTTTGCAGAGGAAACGTGCCAAATTGGCAACGTCATTGCCCGGCAAAAACTCACACATTGCCAGCGACAACTAATTCGTTCAGAATTGAGTCTGCTCTCTATTTATATGCATTTTTTTCCTTTTGCTTCGGCCGAGGGGTGTGGGTTAGCATTCCATAATGCTCCAAAATTCGGGTTATCTACCCTCACCCCTTACTAGCGCATAGATATTCACATCTATGCCGAGGTAGAACATTCCGAAACTTTGAGTGAATTGGAGAAACTCAGAAAGAAACGGCACGGCCAGACTTCTCAAATATCGCTAAACTTTTTGAAGTACGAATTTCATAAAGTAACTTCTTTTTAAATCCATACTTCCAAGAAAACACCCAGGTCCAAGGATACAAAGCTCAAGGTAAAGTAAGGTAAGATGAAGCTACCCTTATAACAGGCCGTGGAAGCCCATAGGGTTGTGAGACGTCGAGGCTTGCACATTTTCTAGACGTTCTAGATAGTCGACTCACAGATGGCGGTGAGGTTGTCAGCCTTATGGGCCGGCAGCCCTTTACTCCCAGGAAGATTCCTGGTACTCATTTCTGTCAGAGCCTGAGTCGATTCAACTGAAAAATTCAATGACCTCATCGGGAATCGAATCGGCGACCTTGCGGCTTGTAGCACAGTGCATCAAAGATCAATCAATAGGAAAACAATAGCTAATTATCTAACTAACTCCACAGATCTGAGTGAGCCCTTCCTGACAAGCCGCCAATTATGTAGCTACTCAAAAATTTCCAGACATTTTATGGAACACGAAGGTTCATAACCTTGTTCACAAGAGCCCTCCGCTGGTTCCTATCCTCAGCCAGGAAAATAATACTAATATTTTATTGCATCCTCATGTTTAAATCACTATAAATAATATTTACTAAAACTCAGTCTGGACACGTGTCAAAAGTGTCATCCTAGACAGATACTCCACCTGTTGTCTTGACAGGAATATAATAAATATTATATAGGAAAGAAATAGTCGTTTCCAGAGATTCCTCCCTTCCAAAATACAGTTGACGGGGGGGAAATCGCTCTTGTAAGACGTATAACGTCATGTAAGTTTACCACTGAGCCATAAAAAGATTTGGTAGGGTCAAAGCCGATAACTTGTTCTGAAGGTCACAATATTTTCGTTCAGAAGTACACAGATGTTTATGACAGAAGATTTAAGCGACGTTCAATTGACATAAACTGGTAAACGGTCCCTGTGCTTGATCCAGTAAGCTGTACGCCATGCCGGCGTATGAAGGGTTGGAAGTACAGCTCCACCATTCTTGACTTCGGTACTAGGTGAATGGGAGTAGGCAGCTTCACGCCCCGGCCGCTTTACCTCCGTGGAAAGAGCACCTGGAACCCACTGGATAGGAAGTTGGGTGAGCTCAGAGCTGGTCTTGGCACTGTGCAGTACAGAAAAATATCTTTCCCCAAACGGGAATCGAATCCCGGCCGACCAGCCCGTCGTTATACCGACTGAGCCATCCAGACTCCTCAACATAACTGATAGGGCAGTCAATAATGTTTAAAAAACTATGTTGCGCCTGCCTGTAGGCATCACGCCATGAAGGTGTGTATGGAGCGTCGAGATAAAGGTCCATGGGTTCATAACCTAGGAACTGCATGGGGCTGAGTTGTCGCCTCTTGGCTCTTAAATTAATAAGTTTGTTTTTTTTAGTTTTCAAAAGATTTAAAATTTTGAAAACTATTTACCCTAAGTACACAGACCGACAGATGACAGAAACATAGTTAAGTTGAGAGCTCCCCCCTCAACCACCCTCCCTCCAATAACTCTAGTTAACTCCACACTCAACCAGCACCACTTCTGATTTCTGCTCAGCAGATATCCGGCTCGAATATTGGACGAGACACCAACTACACCGAGGGGCT